GAGTAAAAGCAATATCAGGGAGTCTGGGTGGCAGGCTGTGCATTCATGCAAGTGAGATGTGATTAGGTTTAGCCTAAGGCTGTAGCATGGAAATGGAGAGAAATATATGCCAGAGGTCAATCTGATTTACTGATAGAGAAAATGTGAATGGGGAACATAGAGACTGGAAGTGAAAGGAAACAATAAAGATGGGCTTGAGGCTTTTTGCATCATTGTAGACAGGTGAGAGGCAGCAAAGTGTAGTGTCTGAGGTCAGACTCCAGATCCAGACTGCTGGGGTTCAAATCCCAGCACTACTACTTAGTACTTAGGTCAAGTTGGCCAAGTTTCTTTTCTCTTTAGTCTCAGTTCCCTAAACTGTAAAATGGGAATAAGGCCGTCTTTGAGGAGTGCACAAGATACATACCTATTACTATCACCATTGTGTTTATTCCATTTATTGAAGTGGGAAAATCAGTGACAGAAATAAATATAGAGAGTGGAGGATTTGTTAAAATTGAGATGCCTGTGAGACAACAAAGTAGAAATATCAAGGAGGCAGTTTAAGTATGTTTCATGTAAGCCAGTGGAGTGGCATATACCATCATTTTTCAAAGTGGGGGGAAATATCTAGTTTTTTTATTTTATTGGCAGAAGCAGCAGGGGCCTTTCTGAAGGGTTGTTCATAGCAATTGAAGAGAAAGGATCACCACTATTTGCTAAGAGTAAAAGAAGGAATGCAATGCTTAAAAAGATGGAGGCATTCTTTCTATTCCACCCAATTTCTCCATCCTAATGAAGGTGAAGATAACAAGTGGGTAATGAAGGGTAGACCATAGAAAGAGTGGCTTAACTGGTGCAGGGCAAGGGAAGGGACCATGCTAAGGGCACTTATTGGAATGGTAGGTGGCTTTAAAATTGCAGCCCAAATGTATTATCTACGTAGTAAATTAACCATTAACAGGAGTTCTTCTGTCCCTGCTTCTAGATTTGGAAAAGTGTGTATAACAGTCTGAACATATAGTGAAAGTTGTGCTGGGGCTGCTGAATCACAAAGGCATTTGTAAAAGAAACATTTTTTTTAATTTAAACATTTTTTGTTTAAAGCAAATCTGTAAAACTTGGAAAATATAAGGATATACAAAAAAGCCATAGTTATATTTTGGTATATCTTTCTAGTCCATTTTCCTTTTTAGGTAATTTGCATTTTATTTTCTTATCATGATGAATAGTAAAGTTCACAGTTCAGTTCCCAGGCAACATAAAAGTGAGCGTTTTACATATAAGACACCCATGTGTAATGTGATAAAATGGGGCTTTGGGGTCTTTTTTGTTGTTGTTTTTTGGATTTTTATGAGCCACTGTGATGTACTAGTCTGTTAAAGGCCATCACACAATTTAAAACTGTGCAGTTATAACAAGGCAATCTTCAAGCAATTAAAAACAATGAATTGTTGAACCAGCCTGGGAGATCTATTGAGTAATCTGGCCTTTCAAGTAATGTCAAGTGGAAACCCTGTTTTCTCTTTCCATCTGAGGATCATTAAAAGAAAAAACAAACCTAAACTAAACAAAAAAACACCTGTTCTGAGTGAAAGTCAGGATTCAGCCCATGTGACTTGGAGACATACTCTTCAGCTGGTTGGTGGAGGCACTATCACTCCAACATGTGCGAGAGCACTGAGAGGTCTGCCTCCATGCCTGCGGCCCATTGTGCAAGCTCTGGAAATTGGTGTTTCCTGAAGCACTGCCATCAACAGACAAAGGCCTCCACTACCTGCAAGTGCATATTGTGGGGATGATTGGCCTTACAGCAGTAGATGTCTATCTGGAGCAGTACCAAAGACAGCACCACTGGCTTCCACTTAGGGCCCAGACTCTGGGCCCGCTGACTAATCTACCAGTTTGATGCCGAGCTGTTGGTGTGTGAGGGGATCCTAGTCATTGTGTCACTGGTAGGTGGCTCAGTCATGGTTTCTTCCCATGCTTTCTCCAGCTTCTCCCTTATTCACGAAAATTCCTGTAGGGAATCTAGGAAAGTATCAAATGCTTTGAGACCCCTGGAAAGTAGGCTATTCAGCAGCAGCATTGTTTTCTGGAGGCTTGTGGCTTGATCTTTGATTTCTTGAGCATGTTTTCTGTCAAGATTCCTTCCTGGTAAAGTTACTGAAGAACCAATCCCTCCACCAATACCTCTGCATCCAGCTGCAGGCAAAGTGAGCAAAGCACTTTTTGTCTCTCGACTCCATTTCTCAAGTCTACAACAATGTATCTTTGAGGGGAACAGAATTCTAGTCCATTTTTCTAAGTAGTATAGATTTTTAACATAATTGGGAATATACTTTATATACTGTTTTTATTTTGTTTTGTTTTGTTTTGAGATGGAGTCTTACACTGTCGCCTGGGCTGGCGTGCAATGGCGCAATCTTGGATCACTGCAACCTCCCAGCCTCCCAAGTAGCTGGGATTACCTAATCAGTGTCATAAATTTACATACAATACTTTAATCTGCCATCCATACTTCGTTTTGTCAGTTGACCTAACGATATCTTTTATAGCATTTTCTCTTCTAGTACAGAATCCAATCTGGAGTCCGTTTACTTGGGTATCTCTTTAGCCTCCTTTAATCTAGAATATTTCCACAGTTTGTCTTTGTCTTTTAATGACAGTGAATTTTTTAAGAAGATCAAACACCGCATGTTCTCACTCATAGGCGGGTGTTGAACAATGAGAACACACGGACACAGGGAGAGAAGCACTACACACTGGGGTCAGTTGGGGGGAAATAGAGGAGGGACGGTGGGGAGTGGGGAGTTGGGGAGAGATAGCAAGGGGAGAGATGCCAGATGTAGGTGATGGAGAGGAAGGCAGCAAATCACGCTGCCACGTGTGTACCTATTCAACAATCTTGCATGTTCTTCACATGTACCCCCAAACCTAAAATGCAATAAAATAAATAAATGGGAAAAAAAAGAGTGCAGAACCCCTCACACTTTTTAAAAATAGAAAGTTCTTCATTATGTATTGGTTTGATGTTTCCTCTCTATTAGATTAAGGATGTGTATTCTTAGCCAGAAAACCACATAGGGAGTGATGTGTCCTCAGGGTATCATACCTGGAGGCACATGATAACCATTTGCCCCTAACTGGTGATGTTCATTTTGATCACCTGATCAAGATGTTGCTCAATTTTTCTGCATAATTGCTGGGGTGTTTTGTTCTCTTTCAATTAATAAGAAGTCTAGAAGAGACACTTTAAATGCATGTGAATATTCTGCTTCTCACCAAAATTTATTCTTAGATATAGCATCCATTAATGATTTTTGCCTGATCTCAGTTTTACTATAGTGATTCCTAAATCATGACTTTTTAAAGTTCCAGACCATCCTCCCCATTTATTAGTTAGGCTTTAGCATTCTACAGTAAGCAAGATCCTACCTTCATCTATTTATTTATTTATTGTACAGACTCATGAATTCCTATCTTTTAATGGCTTATAGGAGGACATTGATAATCTAACCTATTTCATTGTGTAATTAACAAGCTATTTTGAGATGCATTCAGATTATGTCTTAACTAGTTAATAAGTAGTTTGAATACATTTAAATTGGATATGAATTTTTAAATATATTAACCTTTTGAATATTGTTACAAAACCCAATCATATAAGATCAAGGCAAATGTTTATTTCAGTTTTAGATCTTCCATCTAGTTCTTTTTAATGGTTTTTATTTTCATGCTGAGATTTCTCATCTTTTTATTAATTAGAATAGATTTTCCTTTATATCTTTGAGCAGAGTTAATAATTTCTTCTTCAAAAATCTCTGTCTGCTGATTTCAGTATCTGGGTCATCTCAGAGTCAGTTCCTATTAACTGTCTTTCTCTTTATAATGAATCACACTTTTCTGAATACTTTTTTACTATGTTCTGGACATTGTGAATGTTATGTTATGGAAAGTCTGGATTCTGCTATAGTTCTCCAAAAAATATTATCATCGTTGTTGTTGATAGTGATGAAGTGTTGTCGCTTTATCCAGGCAGTTAACTTGGCCTCAGATGGCAATTTCTGTCCAGGACAGCAGCTCAATCTCAATTCAGTTCTTTTTCTTTTTCTTTGGTTTTTTTTTTTTTTTGGGGGGGGGGATGGAGTCTTAGGACTGTCACCCAGGCTGTAGTGCGGTGGCGCGATCTCAGCTCACTGCAATCTCTGCTTCCTGGGTTCAAGCAATTCTCCTGCCTCAGCCTCCTGAGTAGCTGGGACTACAGGCGTGCACCACCACACCCACCTAATTTTTTTTTATTTTTAGAATTTTTAGAGGTGGGGTTTCACCATGTTGGCCAGGATGGTCCCAATCTCCTGACCTCGTGATCTGCCCGCCTCGGCCTCCCAAAGTGCTGGGTTAGTTCTTTTTCTTTAACTAGGTTGCTTTGGAATCTGCTTAATACATGTGTAGTTCAGGGGCAAAATTTATATGGAGTATTTGGGACTGTCTTTCCCTGCTCTCCCCTATTCAGCATTCTTTCTTTACTTTCCAACAGCTGTGGTTGCCCCAAATACCGTGCCGTCTGGTTCTTTGGACCAGAAAGATTGAAGATATCTATACGAGTTTTAGTTCTCCTGCAGGGTGCTGACTGGGCCTGTCCTCAGGCTTAAAACTATTTTTAATAATCCAGCCCCATGTTGTCACCTCATTCCAAGTGTCAACTTCCCTCCAGAGTCTCCCTACTTTTGGTCACTTTCCAATACCGTCACGTGGGTATTTTGGTGTTTTGATTTCATTTATTTGTTGTTTTTGTTTTTTAATGTTGTCCAGAGTTTATACTTTTTATTTACATGCAGATCAGTCTGACAGAAGCTTAGTTGGCCACTACAGAAATGAACTGAATGTTTATTTCTTTAAACAAATAATAATATGAAGATATTAAGAAATTCCTTCTATTGATGAGTAAAATAATGCCACAGAAAAACACATACTTTATTTTGAAATAATATGTTTGAATTTCTTTTGTATTATTTTAGGAATAAATCTAATGAAGCTGATGACTGTCAAAGAGAACTGAGAAAACTGAAGTTTGAATCCATTATTTCTGAGTCACAGTATGCATTACCGATTTTTCAATTCATATTTTTAATAATTGAACTTAAAACTGTTTTAAGTAACATTTTATTTAAAAGGCTCTTAGCATTTCTTATTTTCTTGTTATTTACATAAACAATACCTAATTCAAGCTTATAATGTCTTGTAGTTAGTTATTGCTATTGCCACTGCCTAGATGGGAAAATGTTAACATTATAGAACCATTCATTTTTTTAACATTTTTAATTTTTTTAAAGCCACAGTTATAATCTATAATTTCAAATGAACTCTTTATACATATTTGATAAAGATAAAATGTAGTATATAATGCATGTTGGTGGGTTTTTTTTTTTTCCTATTTCTTTTTAGCCTTACAATGCTGCTTAAAGAAAAAGAAGACTCTTTAATGACTTGTCAACAAATATATAAAACATTACAGGAAGAGCTGACTGCAAAAGAAAAGCAAGAAGAAGACATAAAGAGAAGAATTAACCTTGCAGAAAATGAACTGGAGATAACCAAAACTCTTCTGAATCAGACAAGGGAAGAGGTTTTAACACTGAAAAATGAAAGGTGCAGTCAACAATAATTTTTTACAAAAACATTTTATGTTTAAGTTAGTATTCCATATATATTTGAAACATCAGTGTCTGATGTATTGTAACAATAGTGAAGTCACAATTGGGACTAAAGATATATTTCTCTTACACGGTCATTGCATCCCACTACCTCATTTTGCAAGTGATTAGACTGAAGCCCCGATTGGTTACATGACTTGGTAAAGTTGCAGTTGGTGAATGTAGGAGTGAAGCCCCGGTTGCATTTGGTGTCAAATTTTTATTTAAAAAAAATCAGACCATGTGTGATACTTGTACTACTAAATTTCACCTGGGTCAGTGATTTGTAGATTCTATCATTTTTCCAACAAAAAACATCTTTTTATATCACTTTTCCTGTTATTGGTGCCTACTTTTCTTCTCTCCTCCTTGTCTGTCAGCACATCTTGTTGAGGATATGCCACAAGCAAAGGTATCTCCTTATGGGTATCAAGGATACTAAGAAGCACATTGGTTCAGGCTTCCAAGATACTTTTGCTTAGTTAATTTACCTTTAAATTAACCTTATCTGTAATTAATATTTCAACCTTGCCTGCTTTTTGTTTTCATTTGCCTGTTATGTCTTTGTTCATTCTTTCTGAATCCTTTAGTTTTAAATGTATATTCGATATATAGCACAAATTTTGGGGATTTTTTTGGTTTGTTTCATTGGTTTAAAAAATCTGGGCATCTTTAAGAGGTTTTTTCATTTACATTTACTGATGTAATTATTATATTCACTAAACACAAGTTTCATAAGGGCAAGAATTTTTGTTTTGTGTCTTTTCTGTGGACAGAAAGTACATGATAAGTTGTTTTCATTCTTCCTATCATGTTTACATTTTAGTTTATATTTTATTAATTTTATTTTATAAATATAATTTAGAATAGTTACAATTTCTTTTTAGTTCTTTGTAAAACTATTTGCTGAGCCTGGGGGTGGGGCCAGGGGAGTGGTAGCAGTTAGCTTAGAATTAGATTTTTTGTCTCGGAACTCTTTCTGTCAACACTTCCCTGGGTACCATATCTGTTTCTATGCCAGGCAAGCAGGAAGTCTGTGTAGTTTATAGGAAAACAAGGCTTATCTCTCATCTTTCCTGAAATGATTTTATAATTACTTATCTTTGGTTGAATACGATGAGTAACTGCAGAACTGATATTTTCCCACCATTTATTCTTCACCCTTCAACACCAATAGTGTACCTTATACTTACATTACTATTCCACCTCACCTCCTCTGCCATTTATTAGAAGCTGCAATTTTATAACAAGGAAATGTATAAAAGCCAGACTTATTAATTAAAAACGGAATGATAGCTGAAAGATTGAACATGTGTAAGCAGAGATTTAAAACTATATATGCTAACATATATAGTCAGAAAGATTAAAATCAGTTATATATTCTATACAAAAAGCACACATCATACATCTTTGAAAAGACACCATGGAACAAATAAAAATTTTCAAAGTATTTGGTTTAGAATTTTGATTATCTTAGCAGTTCCTACATTACCTAGAATATCCTATTTCCAGTGATGCCAGATTAATTAGACTTAACTGTTTAGTCAAATGAACGCTGTCTCCTTCACTGAAGTCATTGAAAAGATCCTATCCTTGTCTAATTGTTTCTGGAACTCTTCTCTGAGGACTGGCTTAAGTGCACATTTTATACTTTCGTCAGTATAACAGATCTTTACCCTTTAGGAATACATTTGATAATTGAAACAGTCTCATATGTGTCCAGTGAAAGTAAGTCCAGTGAATATCTGGGAAATACTATTGGGGATCAAAAATAAATTTTTCTCTTTTTTCTATGTCTAATAAATTATCTCTGACTGCAATTTGAAGAAGGGAGTTTTATGAATGCTTTGAGGGTTAGTAACCTCAATAGAATATATAAAGCTTTCTTGGGGGATTGCTTTAAAATAGCATACACCTGGATGTATGTGTTTTACCATGTTTTTAAAAAATTATTATGACTATAATCTTACCCTCTAAGTGTTGAATGAGAAGAACAGTTCCTATCAGCTTTCAGAGAATAGTTACATCACTGAACTAACTCCTATTCTTTATTTCTCTTCTTTGTTTTCTCATATTATTGCCCTTGTACCTTCTTTGTTCTCTCTGCTTTAGTCTATCCAGAAACATACATGATATAACTTAGTCATTGGTAACACTAAGTTTACAGACATGATGTCTCTCACATAATAAATAAAAATGACCAGGTGTAGTAGCTCACACCTGTAAGCCCAGCACTTTGGGAGGCCAAGGCACGCAGATCACTTGAGGCCAGCAGTTTAAGACGGGCCTGGCCAACATGGTAAAACCCCATTTGCACTAAAACTACCAAAATTAGCTGGGCATGGTGCCTCATGCCTATAATCCCAGCTACTCAGGAGGCTGAGGCACAAGAATCACTTGAACCCAGGACGTGAAAGTTGCAGTCAGCTGAGATCACACCACTGTCCAGCCTGGGCAACAGAGCAAGACTCTGTCTCAGAAAAATAAATTAAAAAAATTTTAAATGTCCTTGTAGACCACTAAGTTATCATGTAATCATAAGGTTACTCCTAAACATAAGCATTGCCTTTTTCTAGACTACCTTCAGATTTTGTTTGCCTTGTTCTCTAACTGTTCAGAGCCTGCCACACATATGCACTCAATAAATATTTGCTGAGTGAGTGAATCAATGAATGGATCGCTTTGGGCAATTCAGCCAGTCTGTCAATTATTTGTTGGACATTTACCACATGCCAGGTACTATGTACCCTGGGGTTAAAACAATGAATCTGAAAAATCTCTTTCCTCATGAAGCTTATATTTTAAGGATAGAGACAAACAGTAAAACAAAAAAAAGTAGAATACTGACTAGAATAATTGTAAATTGTGATAATGGATATGAAGTAGTAGACACTGATAGAAGGGGTGCCTGCTGTGGCTAGGGTGGTCATAAAAATGACTTCCAAGGTGATACTCTGCCCCTTCCCTAAAGGAAGACAAGTGGAAGTTACCAGGCCAAGAGCCTGGGAGGAGCTTTTAAGCAAAGGACAGGGTTGGCGAGTTCTGGGAAAGGACAGCAGGGTAGCATGGCTGGTGGCATAGTAAGTATAAGTGAGGCATGCAGGGTCACATTATTTAGGGCCTTGCAGGCCTCTGGGAGTTTAGATGCTGTTTTCAGTGCAATGAAGAGAAACCATTGAAGGAATTTAAGCAGAGGAGTGACATTGTAGAAAGATCATTCTGGGTGCTGGATGGAGAAGGTATTGGCAGTGGAAGCAAATCAGGACATTTACTGTTTTGATCAAGGATTTTATAGGTAGTGAAGCCTAAGAGACATGAGAAAAATGAGAATCTTCAGCTCTTACCCCCTGTCACATTCTGTTGGGTTAAGTGTCTGTGCTGAGTGGATGGTAATAAAATGGCCAGGGCTTACTCCATGTTGAGCCTAAGGTTTAAAAAGATATTCTGGGCCAGGCGCAGTAGTTCAAGCCTGTAATCCCAGCACTGGGAGGCCAAGGTGGATGGATCACCTGAGGTAAAGAGTTTGCAACCAGCCTGGCCAACATAGTAAAACCCTCTCTCTACTGAAAATACGAAAATTAGCTGGGCGTGGTGGTGGGCACCTGTAATCCCAGCTAGCTGGGAGGCTGAGGCAGGAGAATCGTTTGAACCCAGGAGGCGAAAATTGAAGTGAGCTGAGATTGTGCCATTGCACTCCAGCCTGGGCAACAAGAACAAAACTCTGTCTCAAAAAAAAAAAAAAAAGCAACAGATATTTTGAAGAACAAATGACTTTTGGAAGCTTTTGAGATTACTGTAGAAACCTGTCTTGAAACAGTGGTCTTTTGGCTTCAGGGCAACCTGTTATTTGGTCTCTTTTCTAGCTCTGTTTTGGTTCTTTCCTTTTACGTCCTGTGATCACCTGATAGCACACATTTCTTAAAATTCACACTTGAACTTGACTTTCCTCTTTCCACTTTCTTTCCTTCGGTAAACTGACCTTGTCTCAGCTTAGCAAGTTTGCTCTTGAAGCTTTGATTGGAAGCACCAATGGGACCTTTAAATAAGAAGTTTCCTTAAGCAGTTGGAGGTGTGAATGTCCCTCCAAAAGAAGCAGCTGGACTCAGGAAACACTTTTAATATAAAGTTGCTTGGTAATACCATAGGAGATTCTGGTTCAGTAGGTCTGGGTAGTGCCTAGGAATCTGCTACTTGGCAAAGTCCCAAACCACTGCTATGGAAGTATTATAACCAACCAGGATACCAGATGTGCCCACCAAAGACCAGAGTCCAACTCACTCCTAGCGACTGTGTGTGCTTTTATAAATCCAGGCAGTGTCAGATACACACCACCCTTCCTCCCTGACCCCTCAGGAGAACAGAGCCCTTACTGAGGTCATAAATTGTGCAGTTTAGAAGCTATGTAGTTTCAGAAGAGAAGAAAAAAATGTAAAAAGCCAGAGGTGATCTTAGAAAAAAACTAGTAGAACTTCCGAATTTGGAGCAGTAAGGGAGTTAGTAAAATAGTTCAATATTAGTATAAATCTATTTATTTGGGCATTGCTTTCTTCCCCACACTCAGCTGAGGAAGTGCTAGGTAAAGAAGAACCTTCAATGAAAGGAAAAGAAGTAGGTCTTTTCAGATCATGAGATTCTGCAGGTGGAGACAGTCCGGCCAGCTTGGTGACAGACACATTGGGACTGGTGAGAGGGGTTTCCTTTATGGATAGAGAGAAATGCAGCAAGGCATAAGGATAGTGCCAGAGAAAACTGTGGCTGTTTATTAAATTCTGTGTAAAGATAGCCCTCAGCTCCCATTCTACTGGGACACATGGTCTCTGTGGCCAAGACCAGAACTCTGCCCAGAACCATGAATGTGCAACACTAATTCAGGCATATTGTGTGTTAAATAGTGCTCTGTGGGCTGATGGGGGCGGCTAATTCCATTCTTAGAGGAAACTGTTTCAATAGTAAAAA